ATTTCCTTTCATTTCCTTTCATTTCCTTTCATTTCCTTTCATTTCGTTTCATTTCATTTTATTTTATTTTATTTTACGGCACGGCACGCTTATAGCACTGAACTTTTCACAGTCACACGAAAACTGCTCTAGCGTCCACGTCCACCCTTTCCTCCATCCACCCCACCCTCCCCCCTCCCTTCCCATACAAAAACGTTTTTGCTCAGTCATAAAGAGACAAACAAACTAAGAAAAAAAGAGATTGAGAGAGTCATTATGATCATCCTTTCAGTGCCTGTGTGGCAGATTTGAATAATGTTTAGATTTAATGGCGCAAATACAAGTTCCTTCGGAAATTACTTTTCTTCATTAGAATTTTACGAGCGCGTTCCTCAGTTTCTTGGCGCCAAAACTCCGCCACGGAAGCTAAGTAAAACTGGCTTTAAAAGSTTTTTTTAAATGAGGATCTTACATAGGCAGTTTTACTCTACTACTTTAGCCGATAATTCTTTTGAAAAGTACATTTTCATTAGCTGTTTTATATGTGCTCAATAGCTCGGTCACTACCCTGCGAGCAGAGGATATTTTAAAAACCCTCTCCCATCTCCCAACTTTTATAACTTCATTTACTACCACTACCACTACCAGAATCCCGTGCACACTTTCTTTTGTTCAGTTRATTAGCACCAATTGTCTTACTATTCTTATGAGGGAATACAAATTTCAATACAGTAGGAAAGAAAATTGGCGAAACATTTTGGTCGGAGTCAAATGACGCCATCATGCAAACAGCCTTTGGCTTTCGGTATACACCTATTTCAAAAAACGTTGTCATCGCCAAAGACGATAGGCGATAGGTCATTCCGACATGGAAATGGTTTTGTTGAATACAAAGAACATCGAATCAGTCTCAACACTAAGGTCCATGTTCCTGACGAGAATAAGAAGCAGAAACACAAGTCATTCCAGCTATTCTTGGATCTCGGAATGACATATATCCTATCGCTTTTCGCCTATCTCCTATTGCCTATCGCCTTTGGCGATGACAACGTTTTATGAATTAGGTGTATATGCCCAATTTCGAAAAAGTTTAAAGAAAGGATTCCTGGAGAGTTATATCTTCAACACAAAACCAGGCCAAACCAACTATAATTTTACCTGTYGTAGCCAATGCCTGTATTTTCGTATAAACACTATACTTTTTTTACTTGTCAAGTGAATTGCTGCTCGAGTTATCGCGGTAAATGAGTCTAGCTTTTAGAAGCCAAAACCAGGCTAAACCAACATTTTCTTAACGTTTTTATTCATGTTTTCAACATTTTAAGCCACTATAACCGTGTTCCGCATATTCTTATTCTTTAATCTTATACTCATCAATTGTTCATGAGCTCATCGACCAACCAGGGGTTTTTATTTGTACCACGTGCAGTTTGAAACCCCCATCAAATACGACCGCACCCATTTCAAAGTTCTAGTACTTTGGAATATTTCAAAGTCCTACTACTCGGACTTCGAAATATTTCAAAGTACTAGAACTTTGAAATAAAAACAAACATAACAAAAAGAGTATAAGATGTCGTGTCAAATACTCGTTGCTGTATTCTATTGGGGTTTCAAAATCCTCGTGGAATTTCAAATGCGTCGGCTACGCTTCGGCATTTGAAATTCCACTCGGATTTTGAAACCCYAATAGCATATATAACTAAGGACTTTACTTTTATTTTCGTACGAAATGAAAATTGAATGTTATAGATTATCTACGTAACATTTGGCGAGACCATTTTGACACATACAGTCACCATTTTGATTAATTTGTGGGATACTTGGACGCCATTACGGYTAAGATAGTCATCACAAACCTCAACTTTTAAATAAAAATGATGAATGTGTGGACAGTAATTGAACTAAATGTTAAGAGGAAATGTTTTTCAATAACGAGCAATAATGGAAAAAAAGCGCCAAAAACTAGACCTTCGTATGAGTTTTGATTCCAATTTTCGTTTTGGGTTAACACTCAAAACCTTTTTTAAACAGTTAGAAACTGATGTACTATGATAAAATGATAAAATTTGAAGCGGTATTTTCAATTGTGCAAAGATGTTTTGTTGCATTTGTGTTAGAATGTAGCTTTGTCAGGCTTTTTTTATAGAAAATATATTTGAAATAAGCAAATGAAGGCCTGAACCTCATTTTTGATTCAAAGTTTTGCTTTGGATTAACACTTTCATCGGTCATCTCCACTTCCAAACAAGTTAAACTTTCTGTATAACAAGATTTTAGCCTTGTGCAACAGCCTTTCTTCAAGAAAATAGTTTTTGGCGCTCACCGCTTGAATACGAAAAGAATTCTCTCTGTTGTAAAAACAACATTTCGTGTTGTTTAACCACTTAAATCTCTTCTTGGTCTACTTCGTTTTAAGGAACTGAATCAGTAACGAACTTGTRAAGTAAAACGGATGAAATACGTTGTGAAGTGTGTTCACTGTCAAGACAGAAATAAAAATATATAATTCCCCAAWATTGTTATCAGAAATATAAAGAAACAAGCATAAAGAAATGGCACCGGCAGTGACCACCCTCACTACCCTCGGTGCCTTACACCTCATGGTAACCATCTCTCGTGATTGTAAGAGCCTTTSATTGCATACGCACACCGTTCTCATAATGGCTGACGAGCGCACGAAAACGATGTCAGTCACCYAGTCATCWTGCAAGGCTGAGCAAGGCGAGCAAGGCTGCTTATTTAAAATAAAGGTGGATAGACCTCTTGCATCGATCTCCTAGAGGGATTGTTCTGGGGGACAAAACAATAGGCYRTCTTTTCTTATGMAAAAAAWYCMWTKKTTTTGTCCCCCAGAACAATTCCTCTCGGGACTCAAAGGTGCAAAGACTCGGGGTGCAAAGGGTCTATAGCGCAAATTCAGGTCAAAACAAAAGGCCAACTTCTTTTACTTTTGATTCTATAAACACATTTCACGTGCTTTTATATCTTTTATTGTGAACTAATGACTGGGTGAGCTCGTTTTCGTGCACTTGTCAGCCATTAGTGCAGTTTTCGTATGACTGTGAAAAGTTCACGGCACGAACACGGTCGTGCCACAGCAAGGGATACGCCAGACAAATCACATTGCACGAGAATTTACTCTCCATCCAATCAAATACCCGGAACACGACATAAACACGGCGCGGACACGGTCACGCCAAGATCACGGCACATTTAGACCAATCATATTGCGCGTGAAAAAAATCATCCAATTCTAGAAAATTCTAGAAAGTATCACGGTCACGGCACGTCATGCTTACGGCACTGAGCTTTCACAGTCATACGAAAACTGCACTATGAGAACGGTGCACGTGTATGAGTAAGGGCGATTTATAACTTATAAATCAACATTAAATCATTACTCGCGATACTGGTAATTTTGAGTTGCATCAAAGTGCCTACACCACCTAGCTTAATATTTTCAGCATTGATTCTAAATAAAGTGAATATTTGAATAGT